AATGTGTAAAAAACTTTGATCTAATTTTTTTTTGTTACATTTGAAAATATGTAAAAAAAAAAAAAACGTAGATCTACTTTTGTAGCACTACACATGTGAACATAGATCTGCTTGGACCGTTTACGGGTTAACACTAAACACTAGATAATTTTTATTCTCAAAAATTTGATGGGATGTTAAGTAGTACTGTATTGGTTTTACCTTTCAGAAGACAGTTTGGCACAATGGAAGTCTTCCAAGAAAAGATTCATAAGCTCCAAGATTTTTATGAGTGGACCATGACTATTTCTGGTGAGTAAAATTTATTTTACATGAATGAACAGAAAGATGGACATGTGGCTGGAACTGTGGTCTGTAACTTGACAGTCCAGTGGTCTACAGTATTTGATTTTTTAAATACAGTGGAACTCTACTTGCGAGTTTAATCCGTTTCATGACCTTGCTCGCATCTGGATTTGCTTGTTTGCAGAATAAATTTTCCTCATTTAAATTAATTGAAATGCAATTAATCCGTTCCAGTGGAATTCTGTACTTCAATAATTTTGCTAATATCAACTCTACGGCTTATTTATCTATCTCACTTCATCTAATATGACATAACAAACAATATAAATAACATAGAAACCTGATATATACTCTAAAATGAATAAAATATGTCATTCATGTAGTGGTATGGGCGGTGTCGGCGGTGGACAAGAGTTTACAATCATAAAAACCATTTGAAATTACCACTAAGGGATGGCTAATTGCTGGGAAGTGAACTCCATTATTTATGCTTAGATTTCTTTCATTTTTGGTGTACATTAATAAGCATCTTTCCATCATATATTGCCCAAGTTTCAGTAAGATAGTCCAACAAACAAATGAGATACAATTCCCAAGATCAAGAGCAAGAGTCCCTCACCAGCGTCAAGGAACCTGCCTTGAGGTCTGCTCACTTGTGGAAATTTTGCTCGTGTATGGAAGCAAAAAATCGAACCATCGACTGGTCATATTTGGAAAAACTCGCATGTGGACACGCTCGCAAGTAGAGGTTCCACTGTATATGAAGTAGTGTTATATGCAGTATACAAATGTCATCTGAGGTCTTTGAACAGTGAGGAAATGTTCGTTCTTTCTGCAGATGAACGCGTTAAGAACTGGCCACTGATGTCATCTCCACTCCCTACTGTGGGTCTTGTGTCTGCCTACCTCACCATGGTCAAGTTCGGTCCCAGAATAATGTCATCACGTGCACCACTGCAACTCAGAGGGCCTCTTATTTTTTACAACCTGGCTGTTATGTTACTTAATCTATATGTTGGTGTGGAGGTAGGTCATTGACCACTTTTTTTATTATTATTAGTCACTGAAGTTGGAGATAAAGCTTAATTGACAATTCATAATGACTTAATGAATGTGATATCACTGTACATGCATTTGCAGACTTAAAAACTGGATTGTTTAGCTTTCTGTTGGTGTTAGGATGTTGTCTGCCAATTGTGATAGTAGGGAAGTACAGTATTTGAATAACCAACCTGTAATGTTTAACATTCTTGCTGCATTTATGCAGTGACAATTTTGTTTCTTATGTTAAAATTTTGTAGGATAATATTGTTGTGCAGGAAAATGGTGAATCAAATACAGTGGACCCCCGGTTAACGATTTTAATCCGTGCAAGAGGGGTAATTGTTATGCGAAATAATCGTTATGTGAATGAATTTTCCCCATAAGAAATAATGGAAATAAAATTAATCCGTGCAAGACACCCAAAAGTATGAAAAAAAATTTTTTTTACCACATGAAATATTAATTTTAATACACACAAACTGAAAAAGGCATGCACACTTACATGACACTTACTTTTATTGAAGATCTGGTGATGATTGATGGGATGGGAGGAGGGGAGAGCATTATCTTCTTACTGTTTAGAAGGGGAATCCCCTTCCATTACGACTTGAGGTAGCAAGTCCTTTTCCGGGGTTACTTCCCTTCTTCTTTTAATGCCACTAGGACCAGCTTGAGAGTCACTGGACCTCTGTCGCACAACAAATCTGTCCATAGAGCTCTGTACCTCCCGTTCCTTTACGATTTGTCTAAAATGGGCCACAACATTGTCATTGAAATAGTCACCAGCACGGCTTGCAACAGCTGTGTCAGGGTGATTTTCATCCATAAAGGTTTGCAGTTCAACCCACTGTGCACACATTTCCTTAATCTTTGAAGTAGGCACAATGGATTCCACAACTGGCATAGGCTTCTCAGGGTTAGCCCCAAACCCTTCAAAATCTTTCTTAATTTCCATACTAATTCTCACCCTTTTTACCACAGGGTTGGCACTAGAAGCTTTCTTGGGGCCCATGGTCACTTATTTTCCAGAAACAGCACCGAAAACACTGTAATAATACGAAATATTCCGAGTGTATGCTTGGATGTTACCGCGGAGGCTGGCTGGTAAACAATGGGATGGGCGGCACATGTGAGGCTGGCTGAGGGCACATTGGACGCGTCTCGGACGAAAATCGGTGAGCGGGTTTTTAATCGGTATGCGCGGCAAAAATTTTGCGATAAAAGTAAGCGGTATGCGGAAAAATCGCTATGTGATGCCATCGTTATGCGGGGGTCCACTGTACATTCCATTCCCAAAGCTGACGCAAGACCATTCTACCCAAGCTTTAATGTGTGTAAAATTATTAAAGTTGACAGCTTCATGATAAGCTGCCCATCCACTACTGACAATCAGAAGTAAAAAAGATGATCCAGAGCTATAACAATTGCTAGTTGATGATTGTAAATGAAAATTTTGGGAGGTATGCAAAGTAAAGTTTGCTTTAATTTGGTTCTTTTGTGTACTTTCATATGCACTGTACTACTTGTAGCTTTTCTTGCAGTTGGCAGTGGTATCTGTGAGGTTGCGATACAGTTGGTTTTGTCAGCCAGTGGACTACTCTACAAATCCTGATGAAATGAGGGTAAGTGTTTCTAGCAAATTACTGATAGAAGGTTAAACTTAGCTTGAATTTTTTGAGCCAATTTTTATATTTTTGTTCAACGTTTTCTAGGTAAGGAATACCGAAATACAGTACCTGTTACTTTTAATATTTTTATGAGGCCTCTATCCATTAAATAAGTGCTTTTTTGTATGATAACCAAAAGGTAATGCCATCATGAGTCATGATGGCATTGATCATTGAGGGAACTTGAGCTAGAGTTTGCCACAGCCACACTGGCAGGAGATTCATCTGTAAAACTTTCATTTGTGGTCACACTGGGGCCCATGCTAACTTCCCTGTGGTGTATAAATATATCTAGTTGGATGACTTATTGTAGTCAGCTGGCTGAGTGGCTTACACACTGGCCTGGAGTTTTATGATTCACTCGCCATGGGTTCAAACCTCACCTGTTCTATAATTAGGTAATACCAGTTATTTTTAGGTAGTGTTGGTTCTTAATGGTGTAGGTATAAATATTAGGAGCTTGTGTGTGTGAAAACACTGTTGTGTTGATGTAAACTTGGGTGGTGTGAGATGCTTGCCTCTGCCTGTTAGCTGCCAACGTCATGTAGTCATAAATAAATAAAAGAAAGGCACCTCTATTCACCAGTCGAGGGATTTCATATAAAAAGAAGTGTAACATGCACTTACCTTTAATGAATAAATAAATCTTGTACAAATATATTCTCAGTCAGCATGAAAATTAGCAGTCATAATATAGACATAATTGAAGTAATTCTTGATAACAAATTTATCAGCCAGTATTCCAAATGTAAGTTAAATCAGTCCCACAAATGCTAACTAATCTTAAATCCAACATTGGACTATTCATATGAAATATATGTCACACATAAAAGGGTAAGTGAAAAGTGTTTCTCCTCCCCATTAAAGGTTTACTGTTTACTCATGCTCTGTCTGTAGTGTTAACTTCATCTACATTTTCTCCACTGTCACATGAACCAAACTTAATATACTATGGTATGGGAATATTAACACAGTGTTGCTGATAAAGATACACAAGCAGTAACTGGAAAGCTCACTCAAGTCTGATCAGACTTGAAGAATCCTGCTCTGCAGGCAGAACATTGTCTTAGTTTCTTTTTACTGCTAGTATCTTTATCAACTAATGTTGAGATATTAAAAGAATAGTATAATTTAGTGCCTCTGGTAATGATACATATAATTTTCTTGTATCATTTAAGTTTCTTTTGATCACTTGCTTATTGGGTGACTTTCATTTTGTATTGATTGTTGCTAGTTTTTTTCCAATACTAACTGGAGCTTTGCTATTCCTATGTGCATTAATAATATTTAAGGTTCAGGTTTTTTTGGTCACTTGCATGATTGTGATAAGAGAACACTTCCTCAGATAGCTGCAGCACTCTGGTGGTATTACATCTCCAAGCTGGTAGAGTTTACAGACACGCTTTTCTTCATCTTGCGTAAAAAGACCAATCAGTTGACCTTCCTGCACATTTATCATCACTCCACCATGTTCTGCTTGTGGTGGATTGGCATCAAATGGGTGGCCGGGGGTTCCTGTAAGTAGATACTGTATAATACTTTTTTTTCTGAACGAGTAAAATCTTGTGTATTATTTGATACTGCCGTACTTTTAGTTTTCATCAGTTTACGATGTGGAAAGTACAAATAATTATGTGATTATAGGAAAGATAAGCTTAACAGTAATCTGACTTATAGTCAGATACATAGACAGAGCAAGCCTTTATTAACCCTTTGACTGTTTTGGTCATATATATACCTACCATCCGACTTACGACCTGCTCGACATACGACCACTCGACTTACGACCGTGTTTTTTATGCCAAATTTCTGGGAAATAAACAACTGTTTGTGTTGTACACAGTGTTTATCCTAAACCTTACAGTATAAAATACAGTACTAACAGTGTGGAAATTAGGAGATGTGGAGTTAATAAAAGTATTAGAGGGCTGAAGAGGGGTTGTTGAGGTGGTTTGGTCATTTAGAGAGAATGGATTAGAGGGGTCATCCTCGAAAAGGTTGGAAGGAAGGGGTAAGGGAGGTTTTGTGGGCGAGGGGCTTGGACTTCCAGCAGGCGTGCATGAGCGTGTTCGATAGGAGTGAATGGAGACAAATGGTATTTGGGACCTGACAATCTGTTGGAGTGTGAGCAGGGTAATATTTATTGAAGGGATTCAGGGAAACCGGTTATTTTTATATAGCCGGACTTGAGTCCTGGAAATGGGAAGTACAATGCCCGCACTCTAAAGGAGGGGTTTTGGGATATTAGCAGTTTGGAGGGATATGTTATGTATCTTTATACGTATATGCTTCTAAACTGTTGTGTTATGAGTGTGAAGGCTTACTTAGCCCTGTAACAACTTCAGACAGTATTACCCAGGCTGGCTCCTCCTCAGGAAAATTAGTGAATAGAAAAAGAAATAATAACAGACAAACATAAACACTTTATTATATAGAAAATATAAAACACTTAAATATGAAATATTAATCCTACATTAAAGAAAATGAAAAATGAAAAATATAAATAACTGAATTCAACGCTAATATATATAGGGGTGTCTGGTGCTGGTGACACTGTGTTGTTGAAATTGTAGCCGTTGCTGATGATAGGGGGGGGGTCGCAGGTGTTGGTTACAACCCACCGGTTCGTTCTTCACAGTATAGCCGTGAGTATTATATCCCGATGACAGGAAAGCATGTTCTTTACCACTGCAATGATGAGGGGTTATGTCCTGCAATTTCATACAGGTGCACAGGTAATTAAATCCAAAAAGGGGAAGTCTCAGGACGTTAGTCCATCTCCATCAGTTCTGCTCGTTGATTGGCAGGTGACCCTCTCTGTCATCCAAGCTGGAAAGATAGACAGGTTACCCACTGCTTAAGAAATCACTCTCCATGATAAGTACAATACCTAAAAGATGTGGTGATTATTACAACAGTCAACCTAGAACAAGACTGAAAGGACTAAGTTTATTATTGGTCAAAAGTGAAGCTTTCAACCAATAAATCTACTAGAATACAAGGCAGGCATGTACTTACAGTAGTGCTGGGAGCTGTGAGTCTAGTGATTACTGTTTGGACCGGAGCCCCACACGTCACCTTTCGGGGGGGGGGGGGGGAAGGAGGGGAAGGGATAGCGGGAGCTAGACTGACCCTACCTTAACAAGCAGCCGGCAGTCAAACTATCACTTTCGGGGTGGGGGAAAAAAGGCGGGAATAGCGGGAGCTTGACTTACCCTACCTTAACAAGCAGCCGGCAGTCAAACTATCACTTTCGGGGAGGGGAAAAAAGGCGGGAATAGCGGGAGCTTGACTTACCCCTACCTAACAAAGCAGCTGGCCCGTCAAAACTATCACTTTCGGGGAGGGAAAAAAGGGGAAAAAGCGGGAGCTTGACTTACCCTACCTTAACAAGCAGCCGGAGCAGTCAAACTACCTTTCGGGAGGGGAAAAAAAGGGGGAAATAGCGGGAGCTTGACTTACCCCACCTAACAAGTAGCTTGGAAAGAAACTATTGTTACTCTATACTCCCTCTCTACTCCTATCTATTGAACTTTTCCCTCACAATGAGCACCTCTGCAAAAACAGTGATTATGTGTGAGTGAGGTGAAAGTGTTGAATGATGATGAAAGTATTTTCTTTTTGGGGATTTTCTTTCTTTTTGGGTCACCCTGCCTCAGTGGGAGACGGCCGACTTGTTAACAAAAAAAAAAGCATAAAAAGTAAAGTAAAACATGAAATACCAAAATAAAACAAAATAAAGTCATTACAAAAATGTGATGTTGATATTCAGTAGTAAAGTTCGACTTACGTCCATTTCGACTTATGACCGGTTTCTCAGAACCGAACTCGGTCGTAAGTCGGATAGTAGGTGTATACGTCTTACGAGCCACCGTTTTTGACATACAGTGGACCCCCGCATAACGATATTACAGTGGACCCCCGGTTAATGATATTTTTTCACTCCAGAAGTATGTTCAGGTGCCAGTACTGACCGAATTTGTTCCCATAAGAAATATTGTGAAGTAGATTAGTCCATTTCAGACCCCCAAACATACACGTACAAACGCACTTACATAAATACACTTACATAATTGGTCACATTCGGAGGTAATCGTTATGCGGGGGTCCACTGTATTTCAATCCAGAAGTCTGTTTGGGTGCCGTTATAGACCGAATTTGTTCCCATAAGAAATATTGTGAATTAGATTAGTCCATTTCAGACCCCCAAAAATACACCTACAAAAGCACTTACAAAAATACACTTACATAATTGGTCGAGTTGGGAGTTGATTGTTATGTGGGGGTCCACTGTATATACTCATAAATTCTAGCAGCTTCAAATCAAGCAGGAGAAAGCTGGTAGGCCCACATGTGAGAGAATGGGTCTGTGTGGTCAGTGTTTACCTTCAGCATGCAGTGCATAATGAGAAAAAAAAACGACCATTTTTTTAATTAAAATGCCGACTTTGTGGTCTATTTTCATATAGTATTTATGGTTGTATTCTCGTTTTCTTGGTCTCATTTGATAGAATGGAAAACATTTTATAGAAATAGAGGTGATTTTGATTTGTTTTACTATGACAAGAACCTTGAAATGGAGCTCAAAGTAGGGGAAATGTTTGATTTTTGCCGATGTTCAAAAGTAAACAAATGATGTCATTTTCCAATATATGTCCAAGTAGCCATTCTAATATGCAGTCATGAATGGGTTGACATTATTTATACAATTATTACAATATTGCAGTAGTCTGCCTAACAGTAAATCTTCTATTTTTTGTTTGAATAAAAATTCAAGAGAAAGCAAGAGTAATATCAGAGGGGCCTGGAGACTTGACTGATGAACAAAGAAAATGTTATTTTAGAGCCAGGAATGTCTGCATTGTTAATTCTGGACCCTATTTTGAAATTGTCATATTTTTTAATTTTCGTGAAATTGGCCAAATTGCAAATTTCTGGCCACGTTATTGAAATCAGTAATTGTTGAAAATAAGAAAAAGTTTTGGAGTGAGATTAACAAGTTAAGGAAGCCTAGAGAACAAATGGATTTGTCAGTTAAAAATAGGAGAGGAGAGTTATCAAATGGAGAGTTAGAGGTATTGGAAAGATGGAGAGAATATTTAGAGGAATTGTTAAATGTTGATAAAGATAGGGAAGCTGTGATTTCGTGTATAGGGCAAGGAGGAATAACATCTTGTAGGAGTGAGGAAGAGCCAGTTGTGAGGGGTGGGGGAAGTTCGTTTAGGCAGTAGGTAAATGAAAGGGGGTAAAGGGAGCCCGGGGTTGATGAGATAAAGATAGAAATTTTAAAAGCAGGTGGGGATATAGTTTTGGAGTGGTTGGTGCAATTATTTAATAAATGTTGGAAGAAGGTAAGGTACCTAGGGATTTGGGAGAGTGCATGCATAGTTCCCTTTTTTATAAAGGCAAAGGGGACAAAAGAGGTGGGAAAAATTATAGGGGGATAAGTTTGTTGAGTATACCTGGTAAAGTGTATGGTGGAGTTATTATTGAAAGAATTAAGAGTAAGACTGAGAATAGGATAGCAGATGAACAAGGAGGCTTTAGGAAAGGTAGGGGGTGTGTGGACCAGGTGTTTACAGTGAAACACATAAGTGAACAGTATTTAGATAAGGCTAAAGAGGTCTTTGTGGCATTTATGGATTTGGAAAAGGCGTATGACAGGGTGGATAGGGGGGCAGTGTGGCAGATGTTGCAGGTGTATGGTTTAGGAGGTAGGTTAGTGAAAGCAGTGAAGAGTTTTTACGAGGATAGTGAGGCTCAAGTTAGAGTATGTAGGAAAGAGGGAAATTATTTCCCAGTAAAAGTAGGCCTTAGACAAGAATGTGTGATGTCACCGTGGTTGTTTAATAATTTATAGATGGGGGTTGTAAGAGAAGTAAATGCGAGGGTCTTGGCAAGAGGCGTGGAGTTAAAGATAAAGAATCACACATAAAGTGGGAGTTGTCACAGTTGCTCTTTGCTGATGACACTGTGCTCTTGGGAGATTCTGAAGAGAAGTTGCAGAGATTGGTGGATGAATTTGGTAGGGTATGGAAAAGAAGAAAATTAAAAGTGAATACAGGAAAGAGTAAGGTTATGAGGATAACAAAAAGATTAGGTGATGAGAGATTGGATATCAGATGGGAGGGAGAGAGTATGGAGGAGGTGAATGTATTCAGATATTTGGGAGTGGACGTGTCAGCGGATGGGTCTATGAAAGATGAGGTGAATCATAGAATTGATGAGGGGAAAAGAGTGAGTGGTGCACTTAGGAGTCTGTGGAGACAAAGAACTTTGTCCTTGGAGGCAAAGAGGGGAATGTATGAGAGTATAGTTTTACCAACGCTCTTATATGGGTGTGAAGCATGGGTGATGAATGTTGCAGTGAGGAGAAGGCTGGAGGCAGTGGAGATGTCATGTCTGAGGGCAATGTGTGGTGTGATTATAATGCAGAGAATTCCTAGTTTGGAAGTTAGGAGGAGGTGCGGGATTACCAAAACTGTTGTCCAGAGGGCTGAGAAAGGGTTGTTGAGGTGGTTCGGACATGTAGAGAGAATGGAGCGAAACAGAATGACTTCAAGAGTGTATCAGTCTGTAGTGGAAGGAAGGCGGGGTAGGGGTTGGCCTAGGAAAGGTTGGAGGGAGGGGGTAAAGGAGGTTTTGTGTGCGAGGGGCTTGGACTTTCAGCAGGCATGCGTGAGCGTGTTTGATAGGAGTGAATGGAGACAAATGGTTTTTAATACTTGACGTGCTGTTGGAGTGTGAGCAAAGTAACATTTATGAATGGGTTCAGGGAAACCGGCAGGCCGGACTTGAGCCCTGGAGATGGGAAGTACAGTGCCTACCTGGAGAGGAGTTTATCTGGAGAGAGTTTCGGGGGTCAACGCCCCCGCGGCACGGTCTGTGACCAGGCCTCCTTAGGTCAGTGTCCCAGGATGCGACCCACACCAGTCGACTAACACCCAGGTACCCATTTTACTGATGGGGAACATAGACAACAGGTGGAAAGAAACACGTCCAATGTTTCTACTCTGGCTGGGAACGAACCCAGGCCCTCACCGTGTGAAGCGAGAGCGTTAACCACCAGGCCACCAGAGCCCGCACTCTGAAGGAGGGGTGTTAATGTTGCAGTTTAAAAACTGTAGTGTAAAGCACCCTTCTGGCAAGACAGTGATGGAGTGAATGATGGTGAAAGTTTTTTTTTCGGGCCACCCTGCCTTGGTGGGAGTTGGCCAGTGTGATAATAATAAAAAAAAATGGGCAGATTCTTGTACTCAATCAATAGAAAAAATGAAGTTCTAGAGAAACAGCTTTGAGTTTGGTCGAATGGAACAATGGAATTAGCCAAAAATAGGGCTCAAAGTGGGCGAAATCGCCAATTCGTAAATATCCCCGAGGTCGCTAACTTCGCTAGAGCATAACTTCGTCAGTTTTCCATCAAATTTCGTTCTTTTGGTGTCAATTCAATCGGGAAAAGATTCTCTTATCATTTCATAAGAATTTTTTTTTTCGGGGGGGGGGGGGGATTTTGCGACACCAGGAGACACCTCAGGATTTGGAGTTGCGACAGTCAAGGGGTTAAAATGAAGCTTTGTCTTATGTGAATTTTTTCTAGTTACATAAAGAACACACAAGTCTGAGAACAGAAATGTGCATGTAGAATGGATAGTGTCAACATTGCCAGTGTAATGTGTAAAGCATAGGAAAATCTCGCATCTCATGGATTGGGGTAAGGTGCATCTGATCCTGCACAGGATCAACACAAACAGGCAGAAGTGCCACAAGGATGCCATCACCATTTCTAAAACATTTGCCTTCACCATTTCTAAAAGGTTTGCCATACCATTCTAGAACTTGCATCCCCTGATAATCCTTTTTCATATTTCTTCATTATCACCCACTCAGCAACTCAGATCTCACCTGTACCTCTCCTCTCATCTAACCTAGCCTTCCTCTAAGTACCTGACCATTGGCCATTACAAGAAAGTCATATTAAAGGCTTGCGTTGTTTATAAATTGTCTGATTGGTGGAGAAACATCAAGAGTGCAAGAGATTCATGATTCAGGGAAATAGTCTGTGGAGATGGACCATTTAAATGTTGCAAGAAAAGGCAGAATTTGGTGAAACATCTGCTGCTGCTATGACAATGAGGATGAGGCTGTCAACAGTGAGGATGAAAATGATCCAGTCTAGCTCCACAATTCAATACAACCTGAAATCTTTTTAGCAAATATACAAATAAACAGTTGCAAAAATTAAGGAGGAAACAGAGATATGGATATAGACCAAGATATTCTTATCAAGATATTTTGTGACTACATAGGGATTACAAATATGAAAATTACAAGAATTAACAATTTGGATAATGAGTCGAGTGGATGATAATGAAGAATTCAGATCTCTCACTGCAAGCTGACTATCACAATAAAATTTTGCAATTTGTATTATCCTGAGGTGTTCTCTGGCAGTCAAAATTTTTTACCCTCATTTAGTTTAAATTTTTTGTTTCTCATCCAAGTCTGAATATCCAGCAAAAGAAACTTTAAGCAAGAGTTGCATCTTCATTTAGAACCTGGTTGTAGACTTGTGCATCATCAGCATAAAAATGATAATCCACTGTATGGGCATCCAACAGTAAGATTAAGCCAGTAAACAAAACCAGTCCAAGAACAATGTCTTGAGGAATTCCATAGGGCAAAGGAGATGGCTCTGATACAATCCTTGATTATGGCTTGATAGATAAGATTTCAGAAGTGACAGTGCAGTATTCATAATTGTAATTGCAGATGTGAATTTCCCAGAATACAGTACTGGGTTGCCTGCCCAAGCATATCTTGTCTCTCTAAGACAAAAAGGTGATAGTAACCAAAATCAGTAGAATTATCAGTTTCTTGGAGGTTATGTTCCTGAAAACTGGTGCCTGAGGTGAAATTGTGATATGTTGATAAAAGAACATGTAAGGAAAAATAGGGTTATGTTCATAACACCTCGAAAAAAGTAAAATTTTTTTTTTAAATTTTGCAGTTGGTCATAAATAAGTATTCATAACTTACATTTTAGTTGTCACTGTTTTTGATCTGAAAATGAGTGGAGAAGCATAATTGAATGTACATAGTGAGGTTTATAACAATATCCCTGTAGCTCGACTAGTAAAATAAACTAACTTTACCTTGCCTTTAATTCTGAGTGTTGGCAGTTGTTAACATAGAAGTGTTTTTTAGTGTAACAAACTGCCAAGTATGTCATCAAAGCTAGCCTGTGCAGCTTTCAAAATAGACTGGACAGCCATGCATGAGAAGGGTTGGGTTTAAAACCACTTACCTAGCATGGGCCAGTAGGCCTGTTACAATGCTGTTATGTTGTTTAGGAAAGAAGTGGTTTAGTAACAGAATTGTGTATGAGTGGTTGAGAGTAGGACCTGCATAGCATGAGCCAGCAGGTCTACTGCAGTGCTTTTATTTAGGGAAGCCATGATTCTAGGTTTATTAGGTTCTGTTCCATCAAAAAAGTCTACCTATTTACCAATGCTATGGAGTATCTTAAAAAATTATTTCTGCCAACTTGTCAGGGAAGTTACTCTGTATACTTATTTTTCCTAAACTTTACAGAACAATCACTGTCATTTTCCTTTGAAACATTGGACCTGGGTACAATATTTCTGTAGAAATTTATTGGAAATTCAATTTCTGGATGGGCAAAAATCTGTAATTCTACTGACACTGTTCAAAGACAATTTCTTAGTTGCATTTTCTTACAGCCTTCCTAGCAGCCATGATGAACAGCTTCGTACATGTCATCATGTACGCCTACTATGGTCTTTCAGCGTTGGGCCCTTCCATGCAGAAATACTTATGGTGGAAGAAACACATCACCTGTATTCAACTGGCAAGTCAATATATTCTTTATTTTTGAATATCATAAATGTCTGTTTATTATAAAGAGAATGTAAGGAGCTGTAATCATCTGATTTTTTGTAGTTACTCTTGAGTAATAATGCCTTACTCTTCTGTCAGACCCTGATCCTCTTATCACCAAAATTTTAACCTGCACACATTCTCTGCAACATGTAGACTGCAGTAATTTCACTTGTTCAGACTAATTCATTCAGTACAGTACAATACTGCACTGTACTATACTCTGTTGTACCATACTGTACTGTACTGTACCATACTATACTATACTGTACTGTATTATACTGTATTATACTATTCTGTACTATACTGTACTATACTATACTGTGCTGTACAATACTGGGCTGTACTGTACTATACTGTACTGCACCATACTGTACTATACTATACTATATTATACTATACTATACTATACTGTATTATACTGTTCTGTACTATACCATACTATACTATACTGTACTATACTGTATTGTACTATACTGTACTATACTGTGTTACACTATACTGTACTGTACTGCACTATACTATACTGCCCCGTGGCCTGGTACAGTGGCCTGTGCCCTGGTCGCTAAAGCTCTCACTTCACACTGTGAGGGGTCTACGCCGGTTGTCTATGTTCACCTATCAGTAAAATGGGTACCTAGGAGTTAGTCGACTGGTGTGGGTCGCATCCTGGGAGAAGGACCTAATTTGTATGAAATGCTCTGCATAACAAGGGGCTTTCTATATACATAGTAGTATGTCACTGATGTCAGCTAGGCCTGTATACCATGTACATGTACTTGTGATAAATAAAGATACATTTTTTTTTTAACAAACCAGCCGTATCCCACCAAGGCAGGGTGGCCCAAGTAGAAAAATGAAAGTTTCTCTTTTTAAATTTAGTAATTTATATAGGAGAAGGGGTTACTAGCTCCTTGCTCCCAGCATTTTATTCACCTCTTACAACACGCATGGCTTACGGAGGAAGAATTCTGTTCCACTTAACCATGGAGATAAGAGGAAATAAACAAGAACAAGAACTAGGAAGAAAATAGAAGAAAACCCAGAGGGGTGTGTATATGTATGCTTGTATATATATGTGTAGTGTGACCTAAGTGTAAGTAGAAGTAGCAAGACGTATCTGAAATCTTGCATGTTTATAGGACAGAAAAAAGGACACCAACAATCCTACCATCATGTAAAGCAATTACAGGCTTTCGCTTTATACTCACTTGGCAGGACGGTAGTACCTCCCTGGGCGGTTGCTGTTTACCAACCTACTACCTATAAAAGATACATGTATTATTATATTATTATTATTATTATTGTACTATACTGCACTGTATTGTTGTATACTGTACTATACTGTACTGTATAGTATAGCATAGTATAGTTCCCCTTCCTTCCTTTCCCTTAGAAAAGTCACCAAAAATATTTCAGCCAGTTTGAGGTCTATTTCAAGCTACTTCCAGACTGAAACTGAACAAAATCATCTCATTTTTCACTGGTCTTCTGTTCTGTCAATTGATACCAAGAAACAGCCAATAAAACTATGAAAACTACCCTAGAAAACACCTCAAAGTCATGGTGGGGTAGGATTTTTTTTTTTATATTGTGCACACCCCTGGCACAGACTCGTTATCTTGCATCTAAGCCAAAATTAACCACTCGCAGCATATGTGAGGGACCTGTGCCTAAAGAATATTCTGCATGAGTGACACTGTCATCAGTAACATAAATCTATGTGGGAGATAGTAAAAGTGTTAATATGTATTAATGCAATGTAACATTTATGCAAAGTAACATATATGAAGGGGTTCAGGGAAACCGGCAGGCCGGACTTGAGTCCTGGAGATGGGAAGTACAGTGCCTGCACTCTGAAGGAGGGGTGTTAATGTTGCAGTTTAAAAACTGTAGTGTAAAGCACCCTTCTGGCAAGACAGTGATGGAGTGAATGATGGTGAAACTTTTTCTTTTTCGGGCCACCCTGCCTTGGTGGGAATCGGCCAGTGTGATAATAAAAATAAACAATGTAGAACTGCAGATACCAGTAGGAAAAATCAGATGGGTCAGAAGAATTGACAGTTTATTGCAGTTATATTGAATTTGAAAGTTGTAGGTAGATCCAAATTCAAATGTATTGGATGTGTAACGGTGATGTTGTGTCACATATGATGTTTCTTCTCTTAATACAATTATACAAATGAATGTGTAAAATAAATTACTGGGTTATAATAAAAGATTAACTGCAAAATTTTTTCAGGTTCAGTTTGCTAGTGCAGGAGTACTGGGTGCACGAGCAATTGTTGTTGGCTGTGACTTCCCACTATGGATGCAGTATGCACTGGTGGTCTACATGAGTAGTTTTATTGTACTCTTCGGTCAGTTCTATGTACAAGCCTACAGACTTAAGGTATGAATAATTTGTGGGAAGATTCACATTGTTCCTGAATTTTTAAATACATACATGTAAGAGTATTTACAGTACTTTACTGTAGTATGATGTATAGAATGGTGTGGTTGTTTTTCTTTTCGATTGCATCAGCTGTTTAAACTGATGTCAAATAGCCCTCTACATGTCTATATTACATACACTAGCTTCTCAACTTATGAATTACAGGCATTTGCACTTACAAATGAGGTCCGTGAAAGTGACGTTTTTTAAAACATTATGCGAAGCCACTTAGTTGCATTGAAAAACAAGAATGTGTGAAGGAATAAGGTTTTAAGTTACCTTCAAGTTGGATAAGTAATTGATCAAATTAGATAAATGATATTGAAGTCTGATAAATTTAGACCTATTAGTCTGACTGTAGCAGAACAAATTTCAAAATAGTGGCACTACTGCATATTCCTTGGATAGCTATGAAACCATGTTAGTTGTGAATCAGCCCTGCATAGCATTTGCCAGTAAGTCTACTGCAGTGCTTCAGTTCTCTTGTGTTTTCATAATTACCTAACCACTCACCTGGAAGTGGGAAAATGGAGATGAATTGTAAAACATAGAATATAGAATGTTATTGTACGAGTAGGGGAAAAATAAAACAAACAAAAAAGTAAATATTATTCATTGAAGAGTAAGGTAGTAGGAAAAGAGGCAGGAGTGAAGGGCAGTGTGGATGGGAGGAAATAATGCGGACTACTGAGTTGTTGTGCTGTTAATATTAATCATAATTATGATGATGATTATATTTATATTTTTCATTATCAGAGGAAGCTGAAGGAAAATAAGAATGGCCGGGTCCATCACAAGAGTGAAACCAATGGGGTAATTGCAAATGGTGTGACCTCCAAACTACACATGGCCAATGGAGCCCTGAGCCGGGATGGACAGGTATAGCTATGAGCTTTTCAGTACAGTACTACATGTAAAGAATTTTAACATAATTTCCTCTTCATTTTATTATAAAGGAATTAGTGGACAGTTTGACATTATATTAATTTTATTGTGTATGCTTCAAAGCATTTGCTTGAAGAGGCTTTAAAGTCCTCTATAAAGGTTATAAGTTGTCATGAAAAATATAGCACGTACAGTAAGATCCTATTAATTGCTTCATACTGTAGTAGTATTGGTGGATTATAAAACAGAAATGTTTCTTGACTTGCACTTGCTAGTGGATTATTCTAATTATTATATTACAGGTTGAAAAGAATATCTCTGGAAAGAAGTCAGAGAGAGCCAATGGAGAACGTAGGGGACACAATAATGTACGCACTCGTACACAGGCACGACGTGAGGGGCGTCCTCGTCAAGATTCTTAATTTACTTGTGGAGGTTTTGGTTCATCTCTCCTTTGTTTCTCACAGTAAAGCAGTTTTCGTAGGTTAATATCACTAGAGACTGTCGTTCTGAAGTTGAGAGTAAAATTGCAGTTAACTTCTGGATTAATGACATTTAAAATGCATGTTCGTTATAACAGAAAAAATTAAATTATATTAATTCAATTGTTTTCAATATGATACAGTACATAATAAGAAGCTAATGTTAAATGGCTTTGCAATGCCATTGAAGAAACTATTAAACATTCCTTCAATTTACTTGATGGAGCATTGAGTTTTATATGTTTTACTCAAGATTTTTTATAAGAAATTGATGTAGCCAGTGATGTTTTTTCTTTCTCAACGCTTCAGTTTAAGTACATTCTTTATGTTGATTGTCAGCTGACTTCTGGTGCACATACATACCACTGAGTTAAGTTTTCATGGTACATATACATCAGTTCAACTTTAAGCAGTCATCATTATTACAAACATGTCATAAGAGATTGCTAAAAACACTAGCATATTGTTAGAGACAATGTTGCTGTTGAATTTATTCTCAAAAATTAAATCCTACTTTGTGGGTTTGTGAAGACTGTGTTGTGTGTACTTGAAATGGTTTATACAGTAACATCTTCATGGGTTGCAATTGTTTCAAAGATCAAAGAATTTGTTCTTACTGCTTATTAGGTTATATTTTAGTTTCATGATAACTAATGTAAACTGTATATTCAGTTATTAATGGCAGCTTTTTTTTTTTTTTAGCAGCATGGAGAAATAAGATAACTTGCTCTAGTGACATTGCAATTTTTTGAAGAAAACACATATTTAATATAGTATATTTTTATTTCCAAGCAGAGTACAATAAAATACAGTGTATTTTTATTTGCAAATACAGTACAATACAGTAATTTCTCCCTTGCTTAGAATACTTGTTTTCATAAATCTCCCATCTTTAGAATTAAATTTAAAAATCAGAAGTGCAATCTGTAATTTTCCAAAGAAGAAAGAATTCCAAATTTTTATTTTCAACTGGTTTACAGAGTAATAATACATTAGAAATGCTATTGTGAGTTGTTGGATAATTTCTTCCCTCCCAAATGGCTTGTTTCTCTCTTACAGTATGAGAGAGCTTGTTAATTTTTTATAAATATACTGAAAGATGGTAGTAACAATACATCAGAAAAGTATGACGTTTAAACCACTGGGGAGGGAGAGCTTCATAGAGTGCATGGAGAGTATGAAGGCAATGGTACTCTATGTAGAGCATATGGAGGAGGTGAAAACCTGCCAGGACAGCGAAGGTACTGCGGTACATATTCACAGATCATAAACTGGAAACTATCACATCTTGTTTACAAAGAAAAAACTTAGTGCAGGTGTGATGAGGCTGCCATCATCCACCTCACCAACACCATCATCCACCTCACCAACACCATCATCCACCTCACCAACACCATCATCCACCTCCACACCATATCCACTACCAACACCATCATCCACCTCACCAAACCATCATCCACCTCACAAAATCATGACCTCAAAACCACATCTCAGGGAGACTTCCAATCATGCCACGTCATGAAGCAATGTACCTCACCAACATATCAGCTGAAAACCTAGCCACTACAGCAATACACCTACCAATCACACATCACTAAACTCATCCCCTATCAACCTTGTATCCCCAAATAAAAAACTTACCTGACAGACTTGATGACCTCACCACTCATCCACCTCACCAACACCATCATCCACCTCACCAACACCATCATCCACCTCACCAATACCATCATCCACCTCACCAACACCATGAAACAAAGCAAGAGGGATTTTATATATATTTTTAAAATCATTGCACAGATAATATTGGATCGACATAACACAAAATATCATAATCTGATCTCTTTTTTACCTTGCCTAATCTTGGTATCATTCGACCCCACCTGTAATTATATCTGACCTAACCCAACCCAGCAGCACCTCACCTCCCCTATATGCTTTGTATTTATACCATTGCTTTTATAATAAAAGTTTTCTAAGTTGAAAGGGTTTTACCACCATCTGTCGGCTCATAGTCATTCTTTTACGCACATATTTCCTAGAAATAGTTTCTATTACAATTCGTACAATATGGGATTTGGGCAGTACAGGAAGCCCTCCAGCTTACACATACCCCAAGTTGCACACATGCACACTTAAAAACTTGGGAATAAAGTTTTAAGTTTTACTACTAGCAGGCTGCAGCATGAGATGTGTAAAACATAGCTATCCTTTGTGTTATTGTGAAAACCAGAAACAAAACTCATTTGTAAGTTGGGAGCCTCTTTTGTAATTTTTCTTATGTTGAGGACGATAACATTGAGTGGGTCCGTTTTGTTACAGTATTGAAGCAGTGACTCTTCCCTCTTGTGACCCTTCCCTCCTATGACCCCTCTTGTGACCCTTCCCTCCTGTGACCCTTCCCTCCTGTGATCCTTCCCTCCTGTGACCCCTCCTGTGACCCTTCCCTCCTGTGATCCTTCCCTCCTGTGACCCTTCCCTCCTGTGATCCTTCCCTCCTGTGATCCTTCCCTCCTGTGATCCTTCTCTCCTATGATCCTTCCTGTGATCCTTCTCTCCTGTGACCTTCCCTCCTGACACTTGCTGTTCACCCATAATGTCTTGATTTTAGATGGTTACTAGTAGATTATGCCTTATTCAATTTCATAGAGAATATTTTTGAAATTTAATGTTTTGAGGGATTTAGTTAGTACTTGTAGCAACCTTACATTAATGTTCGGTAATGTTTAAGTTAGTACCTGTAGCAACCTTAATGTTCAGTAATGTTTAAGTTAGTACCTGTAGCAACCTTAATGTTCAGTAATGTAGTGCTGATTGATAATTTGGTTGTGTCTTCAATTAAAGATTTTTCACACTAAACTTTTCTCTGCAACTTTGTGATAAATGTGAAAATTAGGTGCTACATAGCACAGGCCATCCTACACACATCTTGAGCCGAATACTTCACTTTTCTTACTGAGGCAAGCTATTTGGGAAACCCTCATATTTGCAGATTTTAGTTCTGATTGGAAATATAATTTTTGATTTCTATTGCATTATTCAGAATTTTCAAAAATTCTAACACGCTTATGCTTACATTATTATAAATAAGAAATGAGTCACTGTATTGGAAAATTAATTACAGTATGGGTAAATACTGTACAAGTGTTAAATACAAGTGCCAAACACTTGTGGAATATTAAATATGAACGTCGGATATCAGTTAAATCAGTGTTAAATCTTGAACCATCAAAGACAGACACACGACATTCATACATACACATACATACATACATATACATATGAAGAATTAGACACACATGCAACAGTTGGGTATCTTTATTTGTAGATGTTTCGCCAACCAGTGGCTTTATTGATAAAGCCACTGGTTGAAGAGATGTCTACAAATAAAGATACCCATGTGTTGTACGTGTCTAATTCTTCATCTTGTCGGTATTGTATACCATTTATGTACATACAATTACACACATACATACACATATACATACACCTATATACACACACCTATATACACATACCTATATACACATATACACACACATATGCACATACATATACACATGCACATACATACATATATATATATATATATATATTTTTTTTTTTTTCAACAAGTCGGCCGTCTCCCACAGAGGCAGGGTGACCCAAAAAAAGAAAGAAAATCCCCAAAAAGAAAATACTTTCATCATCATTCAACACTTTCACCACACTCACACATTATCACTGCTTTTGCAGAGGTGCTCAGAATACAACAGTTTAGAAGAATATACGTATAGAGATACACAACATATCCCTCCAAACTGCCAATATCCCAAAACCCTCCTTTAAAGTGCAGGCATTGTACTTCCCATTTCCAGGACTCAAGTCCGATTATATGAAAATAACCGGTTTCCCTGAATCCCTTCACTAAATATTACCCTGCTCACACTCCAACAGATCGTCAGGTCCCAAGTATCATTCGTCTCCATTCACTCCTATCTAACACGCTCATGCACGCTTGCTGGAAGTCCAAGCCCCTCACCCACAAAACCTCCTTTACCCCCTTTCCAACCCTTTCGAGGACGACCCCTACCCCTCTTTCCTTCCCCTATAGATTTATATGCTTTCCATGTCATTCTACTTTGATCCATTCTCTCTAAAGACCAAAACACCTCAACAACCCCTCTTCTGCCCTCTGACTAATGCTTTTATTAACTCCACACCTTCTCTAATTTCCACACTCCGAATTTTCTGCATAATATTTACACCACACATTGCCCTTAGACAGGACATCTCCACTGCCTCCAACCGTCTCCTCGCAGCTGGCATTTACCACCCAAGCTTCACATCCATATAAGAGTGTTGGTACTACTATACTTTCATACATTCCCTTCTTTGCCTCCATAGATAACGTTTTTTGACTCCACATATACCTCAACGCACCACTCACCTTTTTTCCCTCATCATTCTATGATTAACCTCATCCTTCATAAATCCATCCGCCGACATGTCAACTCCCAAGTATCTGAAAACATTCACTTCTTCCATACTCCTCCTCCCCAATTGATATCCAATTTTTCTTTATCTAAATCATTTGATACCCTCATCACCTTACTCTTTTCTATGTTCACTTTCAACTTTCTACCTTTACACACATTCCCAAAACTCATCCACTAACCTTTTGCAATTTTTCTTTAGAATCTCCCATAAGCACAGTATCATCAGCAAAAAGTAACTGTGTCAATTCCCATTTTGAATTTGATTCCCCAAAATTTAATCCACCACACACACACACACACACACACACAACACACACACACACACACACACACACACACACACACCACACACCACACACACACACACACACACACACACACACCACACACACACACACACACACACACACACACACACACACACACACACACACACACACACACACACACACACACACACACACACACACACACACACACCACACACACACACACACACACACACACACAACACACACACACACACACACACACACACACACACACACACACAGAGAGAGAGAGAGCAGAGAGAGTATAATTTATATAAATTTATTTTTGAATCAGGTCTAATTATTTATGATGCAGAAAGTGAGCAGTACATAAATGAATGTTGAGAGATGGTGGACAAGTTTACAAGTGACAAAAATTTTGTAAGTTACACTAGCTGAAGGTGTGTGTGTTTGTGGTGCAGAGTGCATCATTATGTGAATGATGATTATCATCACTGCCATTGCATTGATATTTGTGTAACCTTAGAATAGTTAAAGGGCAATTTTCCTTGAAATACTGAGTACCAAAGTACATTAGTATTGATATAATGTATAAGAATGTTCTGTATTACAGTATTTCGAAAGGAGAGGCAAGCATGTAAGCGATAACTACATCCTAGCTCCCAAGATTGTTTTGTGGTTGGAAGCAGAGTTTGTTAGATTTTTTTGCTTGTGGGCAGAGCTAGTAATTTGTGGGTTAGACACTAGGACAAAGCAAACATTTTTTTTTTATGATGGAAAATGAGAAATGGGGACCCAGGCAAACAGTGTAGGCACTACTTTAGGTAGACAATGGCAGAAGGTGACAAGTAAGAATAGGAGATACTGGCAGCAGAAGATCTTAATACAATATTTTTCCCAAGACTGAGTGTCATCAAGTACCTGATAAAGCTTAACCTTGGGCAAAACATTTTATTAAAAGGATTCTCTCCTACCAGTATCGAGTTAGACTGGTATATGTATTTGTAATGACTTACTTTTGTTTACTAAAAGTTATGTATTTTACAGCATATTGAATTTACATGTATAATGTGTTACTGCATTTCAAGGTTGTTTGGACATTTTGTAACTAATTGGTTGAATGATGCTCAAGAAAATCCAGTCTTTAGACTTAATGTGCGACTTACTACAAATAGATACATAAATAAGCAGTTCTCAGAAGTGAATGCAGGCCTCCTAGTCTGAGGTGAGACTAGTATGTGCTTGCCATCACAGTACCAGAAAGATATAGTGCATTAATAGGGGGAGTGTCCGAGTGTCTTGCACGCAAGAATGATGTGACAAAATAGCATAAAAAGCACTAAAGTACTGTATAACTAATATGGTAGTGAACACAATTTACAGACATACTGCAATAAGGAGATAAAAGTACAATTTAACCAGTGGATTTTGCCAATAATTTTAGAAGTCAATTATATCAAAATTTGTCTTGTAGTCGTAGGTTCTAACCAGAAACCCAGATGTACATTTTACTCTGTGCATCCCATCACTTGTGGTAATATGCATATTCCATACATTCTGTACACAAATGGAAATTTCAGAATGTCATTAGTGCAGTATTCTAAAACTGGAGTACTAGAGGATCAAATATGGGCCTCCTGGGTGAGTGAGCATATTACTAGGCACCAGTGATGAGGTGTATAAACTATGTTACTGGATTAAGGGTGACAAGTTGCCAGGTAAAACTTAGGTTTGAGGTTTCAGTTAGGGCAATACTTACAGTCTGACAGGAAAATTGGTTTAGGCTCTTTGTGTTGAGAGGAGCGGTATCATGTGTACCTTCCATCCAGGAGGACTGTTTTCACTCACATTATGCTCTTTGTTTTATTTTCAGTTTGTCATGATATTGTGAAATTTCAATAATTTTGGATACTGTTTTTATTTTAAATTATGCGACCATAATTTGGATAGTCATTATTGGCATTGTGCTGAGTTTACCTGACATAAGGAAAAGTTTTTAATAAAATATATTAAGGGCTGAAATACTTTTGAGCTGATGCTTCTATTGTTATCATGTATGGTAGCAGTGGAGTAATGCTACGATACGGGCATATTGAACTCCACTCAGTGCTGCAGGTTACATAGCTTCTAGAGTAAAGCCATTACCTGGAATGTGGCTCAGTGGTCAGTGCCCCCCTTCCCCCATGACCTGGTTCCAGACCAGGTTTGTGTATATTTTCAAAATAACTTATGTTTGTGATGTGTTGTGACAGCCTGTTCTCAGTGTAAAGCCAAATAGTATTGTATTCCCAATACTGTATATTTGAAATAAAGTACTAGCAGCTTCTGATAGATAAGATGAGAATTTATGGATGTATTAAGAAAAATAACAAAAAAAAAGGGGGGAGTGACATTGATATTTCTCAAGGATGTACATTATCTGGCATAATCATTAAAAACACTAAATTCAAGGGATTCAATTGAACCATGCAATGCTAGGTAGTGTTTCTCAGCCAGATTGACCAGATGACTTGTCATTTGTTTGAGGCTCACTCAAGGTTGACTTACTGTTTGATAAATGCTGTAACTAGAGGAAATGCAGTACAGTAAGAATGGAAACTAAGAGTATTGGGGTAACACATCAATACAATATGAAATATCTACAGTGAGGACAGACTGATTGTGAATAGCAGTATTCTTAATCCATTGTTCATCATTTCTTTAGTCATTGAGACATGTTGTGAACTTGAATACAATACTTATACTTCAATTTGAACTCTTGTACAAGACATCCCTGGCATGCATGAACAAGCTTTATTGCTGTGTACACTATAAATATGTTGTGAATATAACTGCTGAAGTGAAATTGTGATTTTATGCTAAATTAGTTCATTGATCATTTACAAAATATAATAAATATTAAACCCTTTAACTCTTCTAATAAGAATACAGTACAGTATATAGAACTTGTTGAGGATTGTTTTAATGTAAATTATTACTTATTTGTTCATGATACTTGACTACCTTTATGCTACATATGTTTGAGTGAAGCAATTAGTGTATGTATGTCGGTGTTGGGTGTGGGTGTGGTTGAAGGTGGTGGTAATTCTAACATTTTGCCCCTGCCTCTTAACTTGTTATTCTTCAGATGGACTCCCTCTTAGCCTTGTTGGCCCTGTCATACCTACTCTTAAAGCGGTGTTTGGATCATGCCTTCATTACTTCCTCACAAAGATCATTCCACTTCCTGACCACTCTTGAGACTAAAGAAATACTTCCTAACATCCCCATGATTCAGTGTCTTTAATTTTTTTGGCTGTCCCCCAAAGTAACTTTTTTTTCAGCCAACTTATCAAACAGCCTATCTGTGTGTGTTTGTGTATGATAGAGACAAATGCAGTACCAGTATATTGGTTGCTTTTCCATGAGAGTGAGTGTACCCTCTAGTAGTGAAGCTCAAAATGTGTGTGCCACCTTTTAGTTTATTATTTACTTGTTAAATCACAATTTTTAGTAGTGCTTTATTATTTGTAATGTAAATATTTTTTATTGTCGCAGATGAAGCAGCCTTGAGAAGTTATCTTATGTGCTAATTTGTGTCATGATCATGAATCTATTTGTTGATTTATTAGTCTGTAGTCCTCATTGAAGAATGCTTGTTTGAAAGGTCTAATCTTAGTTTTCAGTATTGGCCAGTATGATTCAGGAATATTTTATCTTTAACAATGAGTATTAGTGCATAGTGGTAAGCCATTGTGAAGTTTATTTCTCAGGGTTCACAGAAGGACCAGCACCAAATATATCAGTGACTCACCATAGACAGTGAAGCATGATAAAGAAGAATAAATCAATACCATGGCTGGAACAGTACACAACTACAGTACACCACTGATTAAGACATTAAGACATGATCTGTTAGTACTTTTACTCTATAAGGAAGTTGAAAAATTATGGCATTTTTTAAATCTTAGTGATATTGATTATGACGATACAAATTTAAGGGAAAAATCTGGAACACTGTGGGAGCTTATATATCTCATTCCCATGCTGTGGGCAGAAACATTTGCTGTGTGTTACATGGTGTTGGTCCAGTTTTGTTTTATATAACTTTTTTCTGATACATTTTTACACCTTTTATTTTTCTTGAAAATATGGTGCAAAATATATGAACATTCCATAATTATACATGTAATTGTTTATTGGAAGATGGTTTTTTTCACATGTTTGCAATAGTGTAAATGTAGCATGGATTACTGCCCAATTTTAGTCATTCTCAGTATTGTTTTACTAGTACAACTCGAATTAAGAATTTAAAGGTTTTCATTATTAATTTCACCTGAGCCTCTTGTACTAATTATTAGAAATAAATCTTGAGAAAAAATGAGTGGGTTTTGTTACTTGTATTTAAGGTACTGGTGATGTACATAACTTATTACTGTACTATTTTAAGTAGCTGTAAATATAGTTACATTCTGGCTGCAGTGATGGCACATTACCTGCTGCTGCAGTGATGACACATTACCTGCTGCTGCAGTGATGGCACATTACCTGCTGCTGCAGTGATGACACATTACCTGCTGCTGCAGTGATGACACATTACCTGCTGCTGCAGTGATGACACATTACCTGCTGCTGCAGTGATGACACATTACCTGCTGCTGCAGTGATGGCACATTACTTGCTGCTGCAGTGATGACACATTACCTGCTGCTGCAGTGATGACACATTACCTGCTGCTGCAGTGATGGCACATTACCTGCTGCTGCAGTGATGACACATTACCTGCTGCCCGCGTGGGTGACACATTACCTGCTGCTGCAGTGATGACACATTACCTGCTGCTGCAGTGATGACAGGTTATCTACTGCTGCAATGATGACAGGTTATCTACTGCTACAGTAATGACAGGTTATCTACTGCTGCAGTGTTGACAGGTTATCTGCTGCTAGTGCTGCAGTGATGACAGGTTATCTGCTGCTAGTGCTGCAGTGATGACAGGTTATCTGTTGCTAGTGCTGCAGTGATGACAGGTTATCTGCTGCTAGTGCTGCAGTGGATGACAGGTTATCTACTGCTGTGCTGGCAGTGATGACAGGTTATCTGTTGCTAGTGCTGCAGTGATGACAGGTTATCTGCTGCTAGTGCTGCAGTGATGACAGGTTATCTGCTGCTAGTGCTGCAGTGATGACAGGTTATCTGCTGCTAGTGCTGCAGTGATGACAGGTTATCTGCTGCTAGTGCTGCAGTGATGACAGGTTATCTGTTGCTAGTGCTGCAGTGATGACAGGTTATCTGCTGCTAGTGCTGCAGTGTGACAGGTTTCTCTGCTAGTGCTGCAGTGATGACAGGTTATCTGTTGCTAGTGCTGCAGTGATGACAGGTTATCTGTTGCTAGTGCTGCAGTGATGACAGGTTATCTGCTGCTAGTGCTGCAGTGATGACAGGTTATCTACTGCTAGTTGCTGCAGTGATGACAGGTTATCTATGCTAGTGCTGCAGTGATGACAGGTTATCTGCTGCTAGTGCTGCAGTGATGCAGGTTATCTACTGCTAGTGCTGCAGGGGATGACAGGTTATCTGTTGCTAGTGCTGCAGTGATGACAGGTTATCTGCTGCTAGTGCTGCAGTGATGACAGGTTATCTACTGCTAGTGCTGCAGTGATGACAGGTTATCTACTGCTAGTGCTGCAGTGATGACAGGTTATCTGCTGCTAGTGCTGCAGTGATGACAGGTTATCTGCTGCTAGTGCTGCAGTGATGACAGGTTATCTGCTGCTAGTGCTGCAGTGATGACAGGTTATCTGTTGCTAGTGCTGCAGTGATGACAGGTTATCTGCTGCTAGTGCTGCAGTGATGACAGGTTATCTGCTGCTAGTGCTGCAGTGATGACAGGTATCTGCTGCTAGTGCTGCAGTGATGACAGGTTATCTGCTGCTAGTGCTGCAGTGATGACAGGTTATCTACTGCTAGTGCTGCAGTGATGACAGGTTATCTGCTGCTAGTGCTGCAGTGATGACAGGTTATCTACTGCTAGTGCTGCAGTGATGACAGGTTATCTGCTGCTAGTGCTGCAGTGATGACAGGTTATCTGCTGCTAGTGCTGCAGTGATGACAGGTTATCTGTTGCTAGTGCTGCAGTGATGACAGGTTATCTACTGCTAGTGCTGCAGTGATGACAGGTTATCTGCTGCTAGTGCTGCAGTGATGACAGGTTATCTGCTGCTAGGTGCTGCAGTGTGACAGGTTATCTACTGCTAGTGCTGCAGTGATGACAGGTTATCTGCTGCTAGTGCTGCAGTGATGACAGGTTATCTGCTGCTAGTGCTGCAGTGATGACAGGTTATCTGCTGCTAGTGCTGCAGCATTGACAGGTTCTTGGGTGCTGATGCTGCAGCATTGACAGGTTCTTGGGTGCTGATGCTGCAGCATTGACAGGTTCTTGGGTGCTGATGCTGCAGCATTGACAGGTTCTTGGGTGCTGATGCTGCAGCATTGACAGGTTCTTGGGTGCTGATGCTGCAGCATTGACAGGTTCTTGGGTGCTGATGCTGCAGCATTGCCAGGCGCTCTGTTGCTGTCCAAAATGTATTGCAAATTAGGTTGGCATAATAAAAATTTTGAAGTTTGTTTACAATTGATGGTTTGTATGTATTGGGATGTACTGTCTTATCTAGTCAGCAGCTGATTGAGTTTATATAAACCCAATCAAACCAGCAGAGAGAGGTGGAGCAGTACATGTCTGTTCATAGTAATGCCATAATTATGCACAATTTGTAACAGTTCCCTGTGGAACACTGAACTTGTCAGATACTTTTTTGTAGGTTTTGTAATATGTTCTTAGTGAACATTTTGTTTTGATCTCAAATTGCTTTAGTTCAGCACATGTTCAATATACTATATAAATGTGCAGAACTATTATCCGTTGGCTGTGTAAGTTTGCATTCCTGAAAGTCATGTGTAAGTTCTGATATTTTAAGGAAATGTATTTTCAATTTAGTGCAGAATAGTGTGTGTAAAGCAAGCCAATTTATAGACTTATTTTAATGGGTTTCTGTCATTGACCCCCTTGGGGTTTAGTGCTCTTCCCCCCATGAATTAAATTATAATCCTCTCATTGGCAGCATGGTGTCAAATTAAACCTCTCAAAGATACTGATTATATATGCACTTTTCAGATATTAATTTGCAATATATGACATCTGAGGTGTTATGTTTTGCTAAATATCAAAAACTTTTAACTTCAAAACAGGGAACTGATAAAGTATACAAATAATGGTTTGGTAATATATATAAGAACAAATGATAGAAATAATAATACAAATACATAATGAAAAATGTCAGCATTAAGGAATTGGTGAACATTTGGAGGATTTCTTTTTATCAGTTTGTAAGCAGGAGTGAGATAACTAAGTAAGTATAGAGATTTAATTATGATTAAACATTAAAATAATTTCATCTTCATAGACAAAATTCCATTAATATGAGCTTATAAAATTGTTTAAAGGGAGAACTAGCCAAACAATTGTAATTGTCAATTTGAGTTTGAGAAAAGTGAGCTCCAGGTCTTGGGCTTGCCTGTTAACTTTTGACTGAAGTGAATAAGGCCTGTTATGCCTTGTTTTTGTACCCATGTATAGAATCTGCTGCCAATGAGTCAAATGTTTGATGAAACCTTTATATCAACTATGTACAAAGATTAACAACCCATCAATATTTGGTTTAGATTTTGGGAAAATGATGTAAATGAAATTTAGATTATTATTAATGAAATAAATGACTTACCACTTACTGTAAATGATGTCTTGCTCAGACATGTATTTGATTGAGGATGAGAATCTCCAATAATTACAGCTGTCAGTCCCTTTCAGGTTTAGTGCTTTGATTATATGATTATCATTACAGCTGTCAGTTTTGTAGATGTTGCTTAGGATGTCTGCATTATAAAATGGCACAAGGTGTTAACTGAATGTAAATTTTTATCTCCACTTGTGCTAACTACATTTTTAGTTCCATTTACTCAGTATAATATGACAGAACCACTCAAATATTTTTAGTACAGAATATACCTTTTCTGAAGGGATGACTACTTATGGCTTAAATACAGGTACCATCTGACTTACGACCGAGCTTGGTTCCGACCAACCGGTCGTAAGTCAGAATGGACGTAAGTCGAACCTTACTACTGAATGTCAACATCACATTTTTTGTAATGACTTTATTTTATTGTTTTGTTTTGGTATTTCATTTTTTACTTTACTTTTTATGCTGTTAGTACTGTATTTTATACTGTAAGGTTTAGGATAAACACTGTGTACAACACAAACAGTTGTTTATTTCCCAGAAATTTGGCATACAAAACACAGTCATAAGTCGAGTGGTCGTACGTTGAGCAGGTCGTAAGTCGGATGGTAGGTGTATTCGTCTGACTCCATTTTGACCCTTCTGGATTTAGCACTTAGTTATGATTATTATAATAATAATCTGACTCTGTCTTTCTCATTGAGTACGAGGATTTTTTTCTTTTTTAACACGTGTAGTTATTGAGAAAATACCCTTTTCCTTGCCACATGACTTCTCTTGATAACTCCAGTGTCAGTTGTGTGTATATGCTCTTGGGTTTGAATTCAACAAAGTCAACATTTTAAATACTTGATACAAGAGCTTAGCCATAAAAAAAAATGCTGTACAACTAATCTTGGGAAGCTTCACTTCTTCAGGCATTTTTTATATACACTATTTAATTATGACCACCTGGATGTTATTTATTATTTTTTAGTAATACTCTAAGCTGCAGAAATTATTGGTAGATATAAGCACAGCACAAGTGCTGATGATGCAGAGTGAAAGCCTTGTAGGAATTGAACTTAATGGGATAAAGGCTTATAAAGTGAAATGTTGCATAAAATAGTTTACTTCCTATATGTTGTTTCAACTCTGCATTGCTGCATTTATTGCATTTAAGAAATTGTAAGGGATTGAGAGTCATCATAGAGCTTGGAAAAGTGGCTGAATTATTCATACAAGGTTTTTGGTGCTCATTAAGTGTCTGACATTTCAAAATATTTTGTATTAAAATGAATCTTTTTTTTGAGTGTTTCATGTGCTAATATGTATGTTTTTTTTTTTTATATATATTTTGTGCAATAGACAATGATTCTGAAGCAAGTTCTTACTAATGTTGAACCTAGTCATATACACATCTGACTTTTCACCCAAACTAAAATTCCAAGGAATATAGCAACATCATGTTTATTATTTAGTGCAATTTATGTACATTTGAATTTCTTATTGAATTTGTAGTGATCATATATAAAATTTGGATTTTTTACAAGTAAATTTGATTTTTAATATATGTATTTATCATCAGTGAAATGGATTACATGTATTTAAAACCTTAAATGTTTTGTTTATTTCACTTATCCTTTTGTTTGCTCATAACTTAATGTGGGATTATTTAATAAGATACAGTGGTACCTCGGGATACGAACAGCTCAAAACTCGAACAATTATGTAAGTGTATTTATGTAGTGCTTTTGTAAGTGTATTTTTGGGGGTCTGAAACGGATTAATCTAATTTACATTATTCCTTATGGGAACAAATTCGTTTGGTATCGGCACTCGAGCAGCCTTCTGGGATGAAATAAGTGCGTATCCCGAGGTACCACTGTATTTTGATGGGAAGAGCATTACACTTCTGCATTTTAGATATTTGTAACTGTGAACAGTAATTTAAAAAAAACAAAAAGACTTCATATTAGCCCCAGATGCTTACTAATCCAGGAGCCTAATACCTATGTATTAAAATAAAGTGCAAGGGCAGTAGATGTAAGAATTGGCCATGTGTGTACTTGCCCAATACTGACCCTGAACTCTCGACTGCAGAGGTACAGAAATGTGGGTCACTGGAACAGAAAAACTTGAGTACTGAAGAGCTAGTAATTTATTAATATTGGATTACCAGTCCCTTGTTACCACTCACTGTTATTGTTCAGAATCTAAGAAATAAGCATCCAAAATGCCAGGGGATGCCTTAAAGTCCGCCAATGTCAGATTAGGTTGTCAACACAACTGATAATTGTCACCAGCTACAATCTTTTCCCAAACTTTGAATTCAATATTTTGCTTTCACCTTTCTACTTGCCCTCAATATTATTACATTTTTCTCACCTGACAGGCCTTCAATATTATTATAATGAATTTAAACTAAATCCATAAGGGTCATACAGCACTGGGGAGGGAAAGCTTCAGTGATGGACCACCTCTGGTCCTACACCTAAATGACAATGACCATTGACAGATGACACTGCTTCAATTACCTCTCGGTCTTCCCAGAAAAGACAGCCCGACACTCACCTCGCATGCTAAGTTTCAAAGTACTTGATGGACTAAGTTTTTCATTCTGTAACTGGCATCTCCCATTAACTATCTGATCATAGTATCAGCAAGGCACTCTTGTGCCATATTGATCAAAATATTTCATTTCATGCTTTTAAGTGTGGTGCATGCATTGTCATGGTGCAAAATGCTGGCCAGGCTCACAATCTTTTCCTTCTTACTTCCATAGACAATAATCTTGTCATGATTCAAACTCATTTCTCTTAATTCTTGCAGTGGTACCGTAGTTCTACCTCATACCGTTGTTCAACGCAATAGCTTTGCTATTAAAAAATTTGATTCGCCTCATCCCCTAGTTCTTTGTATATAATTTTGGTTGTGCCACATTTCCAGCAAAAACAAAGAAATTATTTTCTGCTGGGTGCCTGGTCATGTTGATGGTCAGGGCAATGAGTAGGCAGACTCTGCTGCAAGGTCAGCAGAGTCTGCCTGTTTCACATAGAGGTATTCTATTCTCAGACTATTTTGCTGTAATCTCTAACTGCATTCACACCCATAGGTCCAATATGACTCATAATAAATTATGTTCCAGCAAGCCAAGTTTAGGTTTCTGGCCTTCTTATCATCAATGCCAAGGTTGGGAGACTATGCTCTCCCGTCTTTGCATCGGGCCCACCTGTCTTACTTATGGGTATCTGGTGGAGAGGTGCCCTGTTCCACTCTGAGAGAACTGTCAGGTTCCAATTTCAGTTTGCCATATTCTATTGGACTATCCTGTCTTTCAACAAGTATGCAGAATTTACCTCTGATGTCGTCACTGCTCTAACACCCTCCTTACTGATGGGCCCACCTTTGACACTGACTCCCTCTGACTTTTTGACAGCAACCAATTTATTACACAAACTTTGATACTTCCTTTAGCACTCCTCACAGCCCTTTCTAACTACCTCCATTATCCTCACCACCCCTAGCTACTCCCTGCTCCTTCTCTTCTCGCTGATGGACCCACCTTTCATCCGGACTCTCATTGACTTTTTGACAACAACTGACTTACTTCACAAACTCTGATACCTTCAGCCCTTTCTACCTCAATCTCTTGCTACGCTCTACCCCCGCACTATCCCCTGCCCCGCTGTTTTCTGTAACCTACTGATCATCCCCCCCCCTCCTGCCGCCCAATACCCTCGCTTCCTTCCCTACCCTGCAGCGCTGTATAGCCCTTGTGGCTTAGCGCTTCTTTTTGATTATAATAATAATAATAATAATACTCCCTGCTCCAGCAATACCCCCTGCCCTGCAGCAATGTATGACCTTAGTGGGTTTAAAACTCTGTTTTGATTATAATAATGTAATAATACAACTTGAGGCCTAATCTAACTTCCCTATGGTGTATAGAATACCTAGTGGGACTAATCAGAGCAAGTTGGCCAAGTAGTTAACACACTGGCCTACGCGTTTTAGGACTCGCTTGCCAAGAGTTCAAACCCCACCTGTTCCATTACTTTTTTACTTGTCATAATTGTTCTGGGTATCAGTGCTCTTATGTATAGTACACCAGTGACCTGTGTTTACCTATTTGAAAATACTCTGAAGGATGACATGCTTTTGCAGTGTACACCTCTAAATCCCCCATTATTATTATATAATCAAAACTAAGCACTAAACCCACCAGGGTTATATAGCCCTGTCTAAATCCCCCAAAGGTGTGGGGTATACAGCAGATTTTCCTGAAAGAATCCTAGGTCCTTTGCTTGTATCAGCCAACATTTTCACAGAAGAGTATATGCAGTTCTCACTACCATCATACACAATGCGACCATGTCTGCCTCATCATTCATAGTTATGGACTCTCAATTGTGATGTACAAGTAGATGAATCATTTCGCAAATGTCAGGTCAAGTAGGACCTGTCAAGCAATTACTGATCTGCCATGCCCTGGCCACATAAGGTATGTATGAAACTGTGTGAATATCCCGAGAGAGAACACCTGTGTTCTGGCTTCAGGGGAAAAGGGATGGAAGGTATTCAGGCTCAATTCAGGGAACTGGAGCAGATCCAATTCCCTAGATCAAGAGCTCCACACCAGCATCAAGGAACCTCCCTTGAGGGGGAATGACTGTGGTAGAGAAGCCTATCCCTTTGTGTAAAGCACACATGGTGTGCCCCCCATGGAGGGTGACCCCCCATCCTTGGAGTTCTGAGGGGTGCATGGAAGACCACATAAGCCCAAGAAAATAGCCAAGAGAGAATTCGGGGAAAGCTCTGGCTGGCGTGTAGAGCTTTGTAGAACCTGGGGCTGAGGACTGACAAGAGGGCAGTACCTGGTCGAGCGAGAAAGCCAGAGGCTCTGTTGGAGACTAGGCAGTGCTTGCTGGGAGCCATGTTCCTGCTGTGTGGGTCTTGGGTCCTGTGACCAGAGGTTGACAGCTCCTGAGGTGAACTATTCTACCTATTATACTGTAAGTTGTATTCACTTTTGTCAGCTAAATTATATTCCATCTCAATTTATGTACAATACTCATTTATCTTAATATCAAACACCTTTTCCCAAGCATATTATTGTACAAGAACTAAATATTTTATTATTAGGCAAGAGTGTAATGTAGTGAGGCAAGTGGGGGGTCTCCACTGGACTGCTCATTATCTGGTAAGGGCAGCTACTATCTTCCACCATGTATTCTCTCTCCCTCCCTACCCCTTTATTGTTACCTAATTCATCTCCCCCTAATTGACAATTTGTCCTTCATATACAGCTTTTGTGATGTTGCATTCTTACTAAATACAGTCTTTTTGTGGGGTCCTTAGACAAGCTGATGTTCTGGGCAATGAACAAGATATTCTTTTCTCTGACTTCTTCAGTGCTTTCCCAACTCTGAAACCACTAGCACAGCATCGAGTGGAACCACAAATTGCTTTCCATTAAACCACGTTTGAGATTCTAGCCATCTTCCCACGCTGTCAGATTTGGGAGACTGCACCCTCATACTAACACATCAAATAGACAAGAAGTCTCATTCATGGATACCATGTGAAATTGACCAGCACTGCTCTGCAAGAACAGTCAGGTCACACTATCCATCATGGGGATATTAATACTTCACATTAAGAGCCTCAAGGCCTTGCAGGGATTCAAGGTGGCAATTTACTTTGTTAGTTTAATAGAACAAGAGGAACATTTATCAATAAACAGAATTTTTCTTAAAGTTTAATACAGTATATAATCACAAGAAATGACTTCAAATTTTTATTAAACAAATTCTAACCAACGAGTGAAGTTGCGACAAATAATAAATTAGCAAGTTATTTTGGCAAAATGGATAGACAATTTTTTCCTAACCATGCAAACTATAAATTATATTATACTCTAGTTATGACATGATTAAGCAAATAGTCTTTAAACTAAAAAATAATATACATGAATTTTAAGTTACCTGTACATGCAAAAGTACCTGAACATTCTTAATACCTATCCTTGGCATCAACTTATTAAATGAATTTATATTTTTTGCTTAATCAGTGGACAGTGCTAAACCCATAGGGATTATACAGAAACTGGAGTAATAGAATGTAATACTATGAAAATAAGTATTCTTTCAATAAACATTTTAGCAAGGGTGCAATGTTCATTTATAATTCAATGGGCAATTATATGCCAAGTGATGGTTTGGTATGTACAGTATGAATTTAAGTTATTTTAAGTTGAGAAACTTGCATATTGCTGTTAGAGATGGGCAACAAAGGTACACTTAAAAAGGTTAGAATAATGTTAAATCACTTTAAGAATATAATTTGATGAGAACTTTGCTCCAAAGTATCCAAGTTCTACAATTTTAAGTTTAATAGCAGGCACAATGTTGCAGCATCAAGGTGACAAGAGTACTGTACTATCCTAGAAAAACTTAAATGAACGAGGATTTGTAGGATATACACAGCAGCACCATCTCTTCAAATATCAACAAAACCAAACATTCATTCAATATACACAACTCAGACATCTTAACCTTTATAAAGTGACACATCAGAAAGATTAATATTTCGAAGATGGATATTTCTAACAACCAATGCCTTAATACTTAAGTAGAAAAAGCTATTTATGTATAAATTTTGTTGTACACCTACCTATGACATCAAAATCATTTGAAGGTTGCTTATTCATCTGTATGAACTCTAACTATAACCGAGTATTTTTCTTTCTTCGATATTCCTTACTCTTTCTTAATTTATAAGTGTGGTGGATTTTGTATACCAATTATTTTGAACTGTGATTCCATAACTACCTCAAAACCATCTCACCAATTAATAACATTCCAGCTTACTGATCAATAATGACTTTTTCAGCAATCAAGGAAGTTAGCAGCCATGAGAAGCTCTAGAGCAATTTCCGGTGCAATGGGGAACTCTGGAATTTCTGTGGAGCTGTTAGTGTATCGCACCTTGTAGGTGAAGTACATGCACACTTTTTGAAGTACATGTGACCTGAAAAAAAAAAAAAAGGTTTAATCCCATTAAGGCCTGGGTTTACAGGTACTGTTGTGAATCACACATTTAGTATATACAGTACAAATACTGTAAAATTATTTAATGTATTAACAAACATTCCATGCAAGTGTAAACAGTATAACCTCTAATGAATTTCATACTTAAAATACAAAATCTGTGGCAAGACACCATTCAGAAAAAAAAAAACTCAGTCCAGAACTATCAATTATTGTTGCAGTCATCTGGGTAAATTCTTTTTCAGATATAGTGGATATTCATTAAAGTCAAAAACTGACACTATTACGATTAAGGAAAAATATTCTCAATTTGGACTTAATGGACAACTGGTTTTAACCCTTAAACTGTGAACGATACATATATATGCAGGAGCCTGTTGCTTGCATGGCATATGCAAGCACAAATATTTGCAAGCCTCAAATTTACTGACAGTTGCTATCTTATGCCTCAGCTAAGCTGGGTGTCTTGCTACCTTGTTGTACCCAAAAAACAAAATGTTGGACCAGGCAGGTCCACACAATGCATCATAAAAAATGACTTAGCAGGTCATATAAATGATGTGTGACACACAACTTGGCATTTATGTGTTTTATTTATTTAGGCATCCTAATATGAAATTTAGTACAGTACATCTTAAATCTTATTAAAATTAAAAAATATAAAACCCATCAATTTCAAAACCTAGATACGTTGGAAAAAATAAGAACAGATTTGGAAACAGCATTTAGAATGGGTTCAGAAAAATGTATTAAATCTTTGATGACAAAATGAAGTTTAATTTTATTGACCAATGTTGCTGGCAATCTTAAATAGGACTACATATTAGGAAAAAAAAAAAAAAAAAAAGCAGGTGGAGTGGGCTACAAATTACAGTACGGACGGTACTATATTCAGGGATTTGGAGGTATTCAGTCTCCTAGCCATACTACCTCTACTATGTAACCAAAATTATGTTGGATACATAATGTTGTAAAAGTAAATGCTAGGGTGTTCGGGAAAGGGGTGGGATTAAATTATGGTGAATCAAATACAAAATGGGAGTTGACACAGTTACTTTTTGCTGATGATACTGTGCTTTTGGGAGATTCTAAAGAAAAGATGTAATTGTTAGTAGATGACTTTCAGAGGGTGTGTAAAGGTAGAAAGTTGAAAGTGAACATACATAAGAGTAAGGTGATGAGGGTATTAAACAATTTAGATAAAGAAAAATTGGATATCACATTGGAGAGAGGGAGTATGGAAGAAGTGAATATTTTCAGATATTTTGGAGTCGACTTGTCAGTAGAAGGGTTTATGAAAGATGGGGTTAACCATAGAATTGACAAAGTAAAAAAGGTGAGTGGTACATCAAGGTATCAGTGGAGACAAAAAACACTATACATGGAGGCAAAGAAGAGAATGTATGAAAGTACAGTGGTACCAAAGCTTATATGGGTGTGAAGCTTGGGTTGTAAATGCTGTGGCGAGGTGGTGGCTGGAGGCAGTGGAGATGTCGTGTCTAAGGGCAATCTTCATTCTTTCAACAAACCGGCCGTATCCCACCGAGGCAGGGTGGCCCAAAAAGAAAAACGAAAGTTTCTCTTTTTAAATTTAGTAATTTATACAGGAGAAGGGGTTACTAGCCCCTTGCTCCTGGCATTTTAGTCGCCTCTTACAACACGCATAGCTTACGGAGGAAGAATTCTGTTCCACTTCCCCATGGAGATAAGAGGAAATAAACAAGAACAAGAACTAGTAAGAAAATAGAAGAAAACCCAGAGGGGTGTGTGTATATATATATATATATATAAGCTTGTACATATATGTGTAGTGTGACCTAAGTGTAAGTAGAAGTAGCAAGACGTACCTGAAACCTTGCATGTTTATGAGACAGAAAAATGGACACCAGCAATCCTACCATCATGTAAAATAATTACAAGCTTTCGTTTTACACTCACTTGGCAGGATGGTAGTACCTCCCTGAGCGGCTGCTGTCTACCAACCTACTACCTAGGTCTAAGGGCAATGTGTGGTGTAAATATTATGCAGAGAATTCAAAATGTGGAAATTAGGAGGAGGTGTGGAGTTACTAAAAGTATTAGGCAGAGGGCTGAAGAGGGGTTGTTGAGGTGGTTTGGTCTTTTAGAAAGAATGGAACAAAGTAGAATGACTTGGAGAGTGTATAAATCTGTAGGGGAAGGAAGACAGGGTAGGCGTCATCCTTGAAAAGGTTTGAGGAAGGGGGTAAAGAAGGTTTTGTGGGCGAGGGGCTTAGACTTAAAGCAAGCATGTGTGAGCATGTTAGATAAGAGTGAATGGAGACTAATGGTTTTTGGGAACTGATGAGCTGTTGCAGTGCGAGCAGGGTAATATTTTGTGAAGGAATTCAGGGAAACTGGTTAGCCAGACTTGAGTCCTGAAAATGGGACATACAATGCCTGCACTTTAAAGGAGGGGTTTGAGATATTGGCAGTTTGGAGGGATTTCTAAACTGTTGTATCTGAGTGCCTCTGCAAAGACAGTGATTATGTGAGTGATGGTGAAGGTGTTGCATGATAATGAAAGTATTTTTCTTTCTTTTTGGGTCGCCCTGCCTTGGTGGGAAACGGCTGACGTGTTAAAAAAAAAATTGCTCGTGTTCTCCAATTACAGTTTACCTGGAGTTTACCTGGAGAGAGTTCCGGGGGTCAACGCCCCCGCGGCCCGGTCTGTGACCAGGCCTCCTGGTGGATCAGAGCCTGATCAACCAGGCTGTTACTGCTGGCTGCACGCAAACCAACATACGAGCCACAGCCTGGCTGATCAGGAACCGACTTTAGGTGCTTGTCCAGTGCCAGCTTGAAGACTGCCAGGGGTCTGTTGGTAATCCCCCTTATGTATGCTGGGAGGCAGTTGAACAGTCTCGGGCCCCTGACACTTATTGTATGGTCTCTTAATGTGCTAGTGACACCCCTGCTTTTCATTGGGGGGATGTTGCATCGTCTGCCAAGTCTTTTGCTTTCGTAGCGAGTGATTTTCGTGTGCAAGTTCGGTACTAGTCCCTCTAGGATTTTCCAGGTGTATATAATCATGTATCTCTCCCACCTGCGTTCCAGGGAATACAGGTTCAGGAACCTCAAGCGCTCCCAGTAATTGAGGTGTTTTATCTCCGTACTTAAACTTTCGAAAGACAAAGCCACTTAAATAACCTTTAAAGCTATCTAACCACACTTGGTCTGGTGGTGACCTGAATCACCAAGGACACAATAGTATAGTGAAAAAAAAAACACCCTTATGACTAAGTACATTAATGAAAGCCAAAGTAATGTGGTAAAATATGTAAAACTAAGGTTGCTTTACTGTTCTGAGAGATTAAATTAATGAGGACCATTAGGCAAAGTTAGGCTAACAAATCTACAAGGTGATACACAGCACAAGAATATGTGAGAGTGGATACTGGTGTGATTTACTGTGTGGAGTAGGTTGAATGGACTAAATCAGTAACAGTAAGAACTTCTGTACTGTCTTGACTCTAGGAGATGCTGAAACTGAATACATACGGTATTTCCCTGAAGTTGACCTCATTAGTTTCATTTTCCGCAAACTGTCCTGGGCCAGAGAGCATGGCCTTGATGGTGCCCGAGGTGAGTGCATGATCTCTCTTTACTATGAACTCGTGACCATCAGAAGATATTAACTTGACATACATGGCATCTGGACCCTCACAGCCCCCATACACTCTCTCCTCATCTTTGTTCTCGTCCCCCATCATCCACAATAACCTGGAACTAAATGTCTATGATTAATATCATTTATGTTAAGTGTTTAATTAATTCATATTAAGATCAAAAAATTACAAAAATATTAGCTACCCAACCAACTCAATATTTATTTGTTAAATATGGATATCTTAAAATATAAGCACTGGAAAACATACACAGAGGGAGAACACGAGTTAGTCCCCTCTACTGGAAGCTTTCCCTACAAATATAGGTAGAAAGGTGCAGAATTAGAGGGAAATATGATTGAACAAAAGCTTTAATAAATAGTGCTGAAACCATATAATCAAAACGAGTTACGACAACAGATTTCAGTTAAAGAAATTTAGAATTACAAAGGATATAGGAAAGCACTGGTCTGAGAATAGAATTATAAATGACTGGAATAAACTACGAAGTAGCTTCATTGAAGAGTATTTCAAATAGCTTTAAAAGTAGATAGGACAGGTACAAAGTCAAACTTAATGTCCAAGGACTGCAGCGTTGTGATTCAGCACTGGGATTACATCTTTGTACATTCTTTGGAAAGTGCTACCGTGAAGCAGCAGCGCTACCGTGAAGCAGCAGCACTACCGTGAAGCAGCAGCACTACCGTGAAGCAGCAGCGCTACCGTGAAGCAGCAGCGCTACCGTGAAGCAGCACTACCGTGAAGCAGCAGCGCTACAGTGAAGCAGCAGCGCTACCGTGAAGCAGCAGCACTACAGTGAAGCAGCAGTGCTACAGTGAAGCAGCAGCACTACAGTGAAGCAGCAGCGCTACAGTGAAGCAGCAGCGCTACAGTGAAGCAGCAGCGCTACAGTGAAGCAGCAGCGCTACAGTGAAGCAGCAGCATTACAGTGAAGCAGCAGCGCTACAGTGAAGCAGCAACAGCACTACCGTGAAGCAGCAGCACTACCGTGAAGCAGCAGCACTACCGTGAAGCAGCAGCACTACCGTGAAGCAGCAGCGCTACCGTGAAGCAGCAGCGCTACCGTGAAGCAGCAGCGCTACCGTGAAGCAGCAGCGCTACCGTGAAGCAGCAGCACTGGGATTACATCTTTGTACATTCTTTGGAAAGTGCTACCGTGAAGCAGCAGCACTACCGTGAAGCAGCAGCGCTACCGTTGAAGCAGCAGCGCTACCGTGAAGCAGCAGCGCGCTACCGTGAAGCAGCAGCGCTACCGTGAAGCAGCAGCGCTACCGTGAAGCAGCAGCGCTACCGTGGAAGCAGCAGCGCATCCGTGAAGCAGCAGCGCTACCGTGAAGCAGCAGCGCTACCGTGAAGCAGCAGCGCTACGTGAAGCAGCAAGCGCTACCGTGAAGCAGCAGCGCTACCGTGAAGCAGCAGCGCTACCGTGAAGCAGCAGCGCTACCGTGAAGCAGCAGCGCTACCGTGAAGCAGCAGCGCTACCGTGAAGCAGCAGCGCTACGTGTGAAGCAGCAGCGCTACCGTGAAGCAGCAGCGCTACCGTGAAGCAGCAGCGCTACCGTGAAGCAGCAGCGCTACCGTGAAGCAGCAAGGCAGCGCTACCGTGAAGCAGCAGCGCTACCGTGAAGCAGCAGCGCTACCGTGAAGCAGCAGCGCTACCGTGAAGCAGCAGCACTACCGTGAAGCAGCAGCACTACCGTGAAGCAGCAGCACTACCGTGAAGCAGTTTGGCTGGTAGCACACTTGCCTCACACTGAGTGTCCAGGTTCAATCCCCGGCACGGGTGGAAACATTGGGCATGTTACCTTATATATGCTACCACTGTTCACCTAGCAGTACATAGGTACCTGGATGTTAGTCGACTGTTGTGGATCACATCCTGGGGGACGAGATTAAAGCACCACCGACTTCCTTCTATTATCCTTGCTAGCTAACTCTCCCTACCCTGGGTTATCCTGGCTAGCTAACTCTCCCTACCCTGGGTTATCCTGGCTAACTCTCCCTACCCTGGGTTATCCTGGCTAGCTAACTCTCCCTACCCTGGGTTATCCTGGCTAGCTAACTCTCCCTACCCTGGGTTATCCTGGCTAGCTAACTCTCCCTACCCTGGGTTATCCTGGCTAGCTAACTCTCCCTACCCTGGGTTATCCTGGCTAGCTAATTCCCTACCCCGGGTTATCCTGGCTAGCTAACTCTCCCTACCCTGGGTTATCCTGGCTAGCTAACTCTCCCTACCCTGGGTTATCCTGGCTAGCTAACTCTCCCTACCCTGGGTTATCCTGGCTAGCTAACTCTCCCTACCCCTGGGTTATCCTGGATGCTAACTCTCCCTACCCTGGGTTATCCTGGCTAGCTAACTCTCCCTACCCTGGGTTATCCTGGCTAGCTAACTCTTCCTACCCCGGGTTATCCTGGCTAGCTAACCCCTACCCCAGGTTATCCTGGCTAGCTAACTCTCCCTACCCTGGGTTATCCTGGCTTGCTAACTCTCCCTACCCTGGGTTATCCTGGCTAGCTAACTCTCCCTACCCTGGGTTATCCTGGCTAGCTAACTCTCCCTACCCTGGGTTATCCTGGCTAGCTAATTCCCTACCCCGGGTTATCCTGGCTAGCTAACTCTCCCTACCCTGGGTTATCCTGGCTAACTAACTCTTCCTACCCCGGGTTATCCTGGTTAGCTAACCCCCTACCCAGGGTTATCCTGGCTAGCTAACTCTCCCTACCCTGGGTTATCCTGGTTTGCTAACTCTCCCTACCCTGGGTTATCCTGGCTAGCTAACTCTCCCTACCCTGGGTTATCCTGGCTAGCTAACTCCCTACCCCGGGTTATCCTGGCTAACTAACTCCCTACCCTGGGTTATCCTGGCTTGCTAACTCTCCCTACCCTGGGTTATCCTGGCTAGTTAACTCTCCCTACCCCGGGTTATCCTGGCTAGCTAACTCTCCCTACCCCGGGTTATCCTGGCGAGCTAACTCTCCCTACCCAGGGTTATCCTGGCTAGCTAACTCCCTACCCCGGGTTATCCTGGTTAACTAACTCCCTGCCCCGGGTTATCCTGGTTAACTAACTCCCTACCCCGGGTTATTCTGGTTAACTAACTCCCTACCCCGGGTTATCCTAGCTAGCTAACTCCCTACTCCGGGTTATCCTAGCTAGCTAACTCCTACCCCGGGTTATCCTGGTTAACTAACTCCCTACCCCGGGTTATCCTAGCTAACTCCCTACCCCGGGTTATCCTAGCTAGCTAACTCCCTACCCCGGGTTATACCTGGTTAACTAACTCCTACCCGAGGTTATCTAGCTAACCTCCCTACCCCGGGTTATCCCTAGTAGCTAACTCATACCCGGTTACTATACCAGCAAATCCTCTCATTATCTTATGACTACTAGGGAGGAGGTGGAGCAGCGCAGCACACTGTGAGGGGAGAGGATAAGACTCACCAGTCCAGCAGTTAAGTCTGTTACACATGTAATACGAGCCTCACCCTGACACCAGTTACAACCAGTCACGCTTAAAACCCCTCTCTTATAATCCGAACCTTTTTATGACACTTAGAATCTTTTAATAAGACTTGGAATCCTTCTATTAAGACTTGGAATCTTATAAATACGATTAACCTTTGATTAACGCTTAAAACTATTTCAGTAAGCTTGAAACTCTTTAACTGGACTTGGAACTTATTATAAATAGGCTTTAAAACTTTTGTTAACACTTAAAAGCTTCTTTAATAAAGACTTGTAATCTTCTACGAGATTTTTTAATAACAAATAGTTTAAAAATCCTTGTTGTTAAGCTTAAAAAAGATCCGGTGAAGCTTACTGTACACAGAGAATTCACCTCTCTATATAAGCTCATGAATCCTCTTAATATATATTTGGCAAAACAATGAACTAAACTAATTTAATTGAAAAATAGTAACATAAACAAATACTTTTAAAAATAAAACATTATTTAAAGTGTTAAAAGATTTGTTAATAAGTAAAACATGTGCAACACCTGGGGATCTTTATTATCAATAAATTTAAATTATATTAACAATATATATGTTATAATAATCGTAATATTAGTGCAAATACTACAAAAATGATGTCACATTTGCAGTCTATAAATATCTGAAATTTTAATACCCCTCAGGGAAGGTTCCTTGATGTTGGTGAGGGGCTCTTGATTTAGGGAATTGGATCTGTACTCCAGTTCCCCGAATTAAGCCTGAATGCCTTCCACATCCGCCCCGGTGCTGTATAATCCTACGGGTTTAGCGCTTCCCCTTGATTATAATAATAATAATAATGAAATTTTAATATCTGTATCAACATGTGTTTCACTGCTTGATCTTGGATGATACTACAAGTGTTTGTTATAATACCTGTTGTCACTGTCAATACCTGATACTCTTCATATCCATTATAGTTCACACTTGTTGTCAGTTTACACCTGCTGTGAACAGTAGCAGTAGGTGTGAACAGTGACAACAGGTGTGAACAGTGACAACAGGTGTAAAGTGATAACAGGTGTAAACAGTGACAACAGGTGTAAACTGACAACAGGTGTAAACAGTGACAACAGGTGTAAACAGTGATAACATTTAAACTGACAACAGGTGTAAAACCTGTTGTCACTGTTTACACCTGTTATCACTTCACACCTGAGTGTTCACACCTGACAGTGTTCTCACCTGTCAGTATTCACACCTGTCAGTATTCACACCTGTCAGTGTTCACACCTGTCAGTGTTCACACCTGACAGTTAACACCTGTCAGTGTTCACACCTGACAGTATTCACACCTGTCAGTGTTCACACCTGACAGTGTTCTCACCTGTCAGTATTCACACCTGTCAGTATTCACACCTGTCAGTGTTCACACCTGACTGTTCACACCTGACAGTTAACACCTGTCAGTGTTCACACCTGACAGTATTCACACCTGTCAGTGTTCACACCTGACAGTATTCACACCTGACAGTATTCACACCTGACAGTATTCACACCTGTTTACCTGGAGTTTACCTGGAGAGAGTTCCGGGGGTCAACGCCCCCGCGGCCCGGTCTGAGACCAGGCCTCCTGGTGGATCAGAGCCTGATCAACCAGGCTGTTGC